AGGAACAGATAAAATAGGGCAAAGATGTACTTGAAACTAAAGAAGGAATAGAAGGAATAGGAATGGAAGAGGAAAGAGGAACCTCATCTAAAACCGGACCTAGATCACCACTTTCGAAACCCTCAGTGAAGAGACGTTGAGTGGATTCAATGGTGTCCCTGGGGATGGTTTCATCATCGGAAACAATATTAACCGGAGAGGAGGCACGGGCAGGAGAAATTTCAGATTCATCTTCGGAAATGATACGTCTCCTGACTCTAGGTCTAACTGCCAAAGAGGTGTCTTCATCTTCATCGTCCTCGGAATCCTCTTCAACAACTTTCCTCTTTGACAGCGTAGCTTGTGCTCTCTCTAAAGAAAGAGGAGTACCAAAAGAAGCTAGAAGGGCAATAGCTACTTCAGGTGACATTCCTCGAATAGCAAATCCTGACAGAAAGAAGGATAAAAAGTTAGAAGAGGGGAAAGAATTTAACATTCGGGAAACAATAAGAGACGCATACCGTGAGTTTTTACTTTCCAACCATGTTTGTTAGAAATAGATTTCCAGGTTCGTGCCTCCATAGGCATGGCCTTCAAAATAGCATCTACCCAACCACGGAAATTAGGAACGGGTTCCACATCTCCCATGGTTGCTACAAAAAAAGCAAAAAAGAATGAAATTAGAAAAGGAGTTGAAATAAAACAAACACGGCAAGAAAGAAATACTTACGTGCAAGGTTCCATTTCTCAGGGAAAGGAATATTTGATTCACCCACCAAATCAACCGTGGGTACCGCAACATAACGGGTGCACCAGCCTCGATCTTTATCATCTTCAGGGCTTACCAAAACCCTTTTACTTCTTGCGGTTAGAGTAAAAACACCATTGCGAAATAGCTTGGGGTGGTAAAGATGAATCAGATGAGAGAAGGTAAAATCGACATCAGCCTTTACCGATACATACCTTAAACAAGCTACTGCTCTCCATACGAGACGGCCAACTTGAGCCAAACAAATTTTGAAAAAATGACAAAAATCGAGTATGACTGAGTCGATAGCAGGAATAAATCCCAAAGTAAAGGGATAAGTATAAACAGAGAAAAAACCAATCCTATAGGAAGATATTCTCTGGTTTGGGTTAGGAATAACTATATGAAGGTCATCTCTCCAACGACAATCTTTTCGAACAGTAGAAATTAAGGGTTCAGTAATTAAAGAAGGATAAGTGTCAGCTCTCTCTAATTTAATTACTTGGTCACGAAAGGATTCTTTATCATGCTCGAAAGATAAATCAATTGGCACTATTTCTTCGACCAAAGGTTCTTGCATCGACTCAGAAGATTCATTGCCTTTAGAGGAAGATCTATTAATGAAAGAACCTCTAGAAGTAATACCAGAGCTAGAAGAAGGAGTGATGGAACCAGAGGTACCACCACGAATGGATCCAAGGCCACGAATTCTACCCCCTCTACCCCTTCTATGTCTCACAGGGGCATTGGGGAAACTGTCAAGAATTGGGACTCTTCTAGGGTTGGGATTTGAAGATGACATGGTAGAAAGGCTTGAACAGAGGAAGAAGTGAATAGAAGTAAATAGTGAAATATTAGGTAAAAATTTGTGGAAGGAGGATTAAGTTTATATAAAAGCAACCGTCAAAGATTAAGAAGTGTAATGATGGAAAGCCTATAATAAAGACAACTATCACTTCGTGAATAGTGGAGTTGAAGAAGCCTTGAAAAAAGGCTGCAGAATTACAGAGCTAATGAGAAGGAGACACGTGTGCGATGCATTAAATAGAAAAGACAACTGAAGCGTTAGTACTGTCATAGCATTAATTAAGGCAAAAATTCCCTTTTTAATGAAGAACCACTTCCCAAATATTTAATTGATAAATAAATGGAAAGTGGGGGTACTATCTGTATTGGGAAAAAACTGAATTTAAATATTGAAGATGACATGTCATGACACGTGGACCGGTCAAATAGTCAAAGCATGACAAAGAGTAATAAGAAACGAGCAACAATAGATGCGGGAGAGAAGATACGAGCTACTATCCAGATGAAACGAGACTCGTACCTGTTCGAGCCATTTAAAGCTCGAAGATCAGAAGGAATTGAAGATATGAATCTGATAGCGTAAAAGAGTCCAAATTCAACATTAAATGCCTAATACGTTAGAGAATTTGTATTTAATAAGAATGATTGAATAACGTTTCTTTTAATGTCATTTACTGCTCGTAATTGCCTCATTAAGACAAAGGTATTACACTTTCTCTTAGAATTGACTATAAAAAGAGAAAGTCACAACATTTGTAGGACACGAAATATCATTCTGATTATACTGAAATATACTCTTATTCATTGCTTTATTGTTGTTCACAAAATCTCTTATTTCTTGATTATCAGTAACTCGATTTCTCTATTAAATTCTAGCTTTAACCAAATATTCAGTTTTCTGGTTAAACAGTTCCACCCCCTAGTTGATGCCAACAGAATCTGATGACTTTCAAACATAGGTTCCCACTCCCTAGTTGATGCCAGCATAACTTGATGACTTTCCAATATATGGTCCCACTCCCTAGTAGATACAAGCATAACCTGATGACTTTAAACCTAGGATCCCACTCCCTAGTTCATGCCAGCATAACCTAATGACTTTTCAACATAGGGTTTCATTCCTTAGTTGATGCAATCATAACGTGATAACTTTCAAAAATAGGTTCCAACTCCCTAGTTGATGCCAGCATAACCTGAAGACGTTCCACCATAGGGTCCCACTCCCTAGTTGATGCCACCATAACCTGATGATTTTCCGACATAAGCTTACCACTCCCTAGTTGATGCCAGCATAAACTGATGACTTTCCAACATAGGGTTTCGCTACCTAGTTGATGCCAGCATAACCTGATGACTTTCCAACATAGGGTCCCACTCACTAGTTGATGCGAGCATAACCTGATGACTTTCCAACATAGGGTCCCACTACCTAGTTGATGCCAGCATAACCTGATGACTTTCCAACCTAGGGTCCCACTCCCTAGTTGATGTCAGCATAACCTGATGACTTTCCAAAATAGGGTCCCACTCCCTAGTTTATGCCAGCATAATCTGATAATTTCCTAACATAGGTTCACCACTTCCTAGTTGATGCAAGCATAACTTGATAACTTTCCAACATAGGGTCACACTCGTTAGTTGATGCCACAATAACCTGATGATTTTTCAGCATAGGGTTCTACTTCCTAGTTGATGCCAGTATAACCTGATGACTTTCCAACATAAGGTCACACTCCCTAGTTGATGCCAGCATAACCTGATGACTTTCCAACATAGGGTCTGACTCCCTAGTTAGTGTTAGCACACCCTGATGATTTTTCAACTTAGGTTCACCACTCCCTAGTTGATGCAAGCATAACCTGATGACTTTCCAACATAGGGTCACCACTCCCTAGTTGATGCAAGATTGATGAATTTCCCACATAGGGTCCCGCTCCCTAGTTCATGCCAGCATAACCTAATGACTTTCCAACATAGGGTCTCACTCCCTAGTTGATGCCAGCATAACATGATGACTTTCCAACATAGGGTCCCACTTCCTAGTTATGCCAGTATAACATAATGACTTTCCAACATAGGGTCACACTCCCTAGTTGATACCAGCATAACCTGATAACTTCCCAACATAGTATCCCACTCCCTAGTTGATGCCACCATAACTTTATGATTTTCCAACATACGGTCATCGCTCCCTAGTTTATGCAAGCATAACTTGATAACTTTCCAACATAGGGTCCCACTCGCTAGTTGATACGAGCAAAAACTGATGACTTTCCAACATAGGATCTCACTCCCTTGTTGATGCCAGCAAAACTTGATGACTTTCCAAAATATGGTATCACTCCCTAGTTGATGCCAGCATAACGTAATGACGTTCCAACATAGGGTCTCTCTCCCAAGTAGATGCCAGCATAACCTGATGATTTTCCAACATA